CCAGCTCACAGAAAGTTTTGACCTCATTTGAGATGAATTTGCCGCCACGATCCGTGCGCAAAGCTTTCAGCTTACTGTTTTTCTCCATTTCGGCTGCAGTTTTGACAGCTTTGACCTTCTTAAATGCTTCATCTTTGTCTTGGATCGGCACCTGCCGCACCTGCCACATAAATCTTGTACAATCGTCAACCAACAACAAGAAATAGCGCTTCCCTCCGTGAGTAACAGGGGTAATTGGGCCGCACAAATCTCTCTGCCACAGTTCAAGAGGTGATTCTGCTCAGAATTTTGCCACTGCTGGAAAAGAATTTCGGTGTTGCTTTCCAATCAAACAACCATCACAAAAGCGGTCTTCATGCTCGATTTTGGGCAAGCCGTGCACCATCTTTTTCTGACTTAGAAATTTTAAAGCATGAAAATTTACATGCCCATATCTTGCATGCCATCGTCATGCTTCTTCTTTGCTCCTAGACAGAAGGCATTCAGGGAGAGCTGGTGCTATGTTAAACATATATAATTGGTTGCTTGACTTGTTCAGTTTTGCTAGTAGCCTTTGTGATCTGTCCAAGATAGTCATAACACCTCCTTCAACCTCAACTTTGCATCCGTTCTCATCTAACTGGCCAAGACTCATTATGTTGCTCTTCAACACCGGGATGTAGTAGACATTAGTAAGTATTCGATGTTCACCTGTGAAGCCTTCAAACAAAACCAAACCTCTTCCTTGGATTTCTACAGTCGAGTCATCCCCAAATTTGACCGACCCTTAATTGTCGTGTCAATTTCAGCAAATTTTTGATACAACCGGTCATGTGGTTACTTGCACCGGTATCTAAATACCAAGCCTTCTCTCGGGTGTTTTTAAACTTTGGCACCACCTTGTCTTCATGCAATAACACTTGCTCGTTCTGTTGCTCGTGTTCTGTATTGCGTGGCTGAGAACACAAGTTTCTGTCATCAACAGTGTTGGTTCATCTTCGATTTGCGTGGCAACAAGGTTTGCTTTTTCTCTTCGGGTTTGTTTAGGACACTCTTTTGTAAAATGACCATATTCATTACAATTGAAACACTTAACCTTGGATTTGTCGAAGTTACGCGGCTTTCGGTCTTCACCTCGACCTCCACCATATCCACGCCCACGGCCACGTCCTCTCCCGTGACGTCCTCCTTTTTTGTTGATGTTGGAACTTTCATCTTTCTTTGCCTTTGGGATTCTTGCCTCCCACTCGGCCTGGGTAAGGAGTAACTGTTCTCCATTACCCTTTGAGTGCAGTCGCCCTTTAAGCCCTTCCTCGAAGGTTCTGAGACAACCTATCGCCTCTGATACCGGCATTTTCTCAGTATCGCCAAATTGCTCAATTATTCTAATAATTTGGAGAAATAAATCTGGAAGTGCACTGACAATTTTTCAACAACTTCACTGTCGTCGGACTTCGTACCCAGTGAGCGGATCTCACCCACCAGCGTGGTAAGCTTCGTGGAAAATTCGTTTATTGTCTATGAATCCTCCATGTGTAACTTGTTCAGTTGTCGTTTCGGCACCTGTACGCGTGCCTTCTTAACGTGATCTTCATCGACTCGCATCTCCTTGAGTGCGTCCCAAGCCTCATTTGTCGTCTCTTTCTCCGCGATTACAATCATCACGTCATTTGGCACGGCTTGAGAAATGGCTATCATGGCGCCTTGATCTTTGTCATCGTCTTTTTCTTCACCTTCAATCACTGACCATACTCCTAGTGAACGCAAGATTATCTTCATCTTGACAGCCCATATGCTGTAGTTCGTTTCACTTAACGTTGGAAATTGGATCGGGATTGAGGCTCCTCTTGCCGTCGGTTTGATGACAGCAAGAAATGTCTTAGATGGATCTTCATCATTTTCGGTCATTTCTTTGACAACTTCGCTCCGATACCAAATGTTGGTTTTCAAAGCCAAACTTTAAACGCCAACAAAAATGAAGGAATTTTTAGTACTTTAACACACACTACATTTTTTAAATATATAAGCAAATACAAATAACTACACATCACATTTTTCTGAAAATAAAAACTAACTAACCACTTAACGGTTTTTCTAACCGCCTAACCACAAAACGGTCCACATGAAAAATATGCAAAAATAACATAAACAATTTATAGACAACTAGATTAACTCAAACAAGAAAACTGTTAAAATCATTGCATAGGAAATAAGTTATGAATTTTCCCATGGCTTTCCAACTTCTACTATTTCTAACGCCT